TCCCTAAACCGAGGAAATCCTTTTCTGTGTACTTCACGTCCCACAAAGGACGCTGCAAGGCTGCCCTAAACCCTGAGAGTGGGAAGGTCTCCCCCCGGCTTGGATGGAACAATTTACGTGACGTGACTTACGGCGTCCACCAGAGCGCCCAGCGAGGCCGTAATTCCGCCGTACGACGTGACCTCCAGCGTCAACGCCCGCCTGCCTTGCTGGGGTGCCACCCGGCGGAAGTCGCTGCTCTAAGGCGCACGGACGCCGGGCAAGGCTGAAGTGTGTGCAATGCTACCGCGTCCCCGAGGTGCTTGCGTCTTACCCCCAGTAGAAGTTCCCTTGAAAAGCAATTCTGTGATGACATTACCGGGGGAAATGGAGAGACCACACGGATAGGGCGTTTGTGCTCGGCTGCCCACTTAGGCACCTCAAGAAAGTGACCTCGTGTCTGCTACCTAAAGCTACATACCGCCTCTCAGTGTCTTATTTGCCCAAGTTACCTGTTAATTTTCCTTAAAGTGACAGCTTTGCTTTTTAACACTTTGAAGCGGTCCTGTGTGGTCCATTTGCCCATTGCAATCCGGTTTGATTTCCTCAGGGCTGCCTCTGAGCATTGATTGTGGATCCAAGTAAAATGAAATCCATGACCTTTATCTTTATCAGCCTTTCCTCATTATCAGGATGTGTTTCTTGGCCCAGTTGTCGGAATTCCTGTTTTTATGTTGCAGTACAAGGAGCCCTGACATAGTGTGTTGTGTGTGGAAAGTAGATGTTGCCAGGCTTCCTGGAGAAAAGTTAGCAAGTTTCATGGAAGACATCAAGACAAAACTAAATGGAGAAAAGATTTTATAAGCAAAGGATGCTTCAATCACGAAGCTGTCATCTCAGGGTTTGAGGAAGCTGATGATGTCTAGGGGCACAACACTGGATTATATAGGATGGGGGGCAGGACCCCATTGGCTTCCCTCTCCCTATGGTGCTCAGTGATGGGATGAGTCATCTGTTTATGACCGGTGGAATGCATCATGTGAGACAATTTAGGACAGGTCATCCAGACCTCTAGCTGACCCTGACATGACCAGTGGAATGGATCAGGTGATGCAGTTTGGGATAGGTCAGCCAGACCTCTAGGTGACCCAGAGAGTTAAGAGTTGGTGGTTTGAAACCACCAGCTGCTCCTTGTGAGATACACAAGGCTTTCGACTCCTATGAAAGAGTTACCTTACAGGGTTGCTACAGTCGGAATCAACTTGATGGCAGTGAGTTTGCATTTGAATTGAATGGTAATCCACCCTGAAGGCTGTCTCTTTGATTTTCATCAGTGAGAGCTCCAAGTCTTCTTCACTTTTCAGCAAGCGGGGCTGTGTCTTCTACATAGTCTTTTCAAATCCTGGTGCTGTGGGTTGGTTTGTTTCATATAGTTCAGCTTCTCAGATTTTTTTGCTTAGCATTTACCGGTAGATTTAATAAGTATAGAGAAAGGATACACCCCAGACATACATCTTACCTGATTTTAAATCAAGCGGTATCTCCATGCTTTGTTCCAACAACTACCCCTTGGTCCCAATACAGGTTCCACATGAGAATAATTAAGTGCTCGGAACTTCTTACCTTCCTGTTGTTATCCATAGTTTATGATCCAGTCAAATGTTGTATAGTCTATAAAAACACAGGTAAACATCTTTCTGATATTCTCTACTTTCAGCTAAAATGCAATTGATGTCAGCAATGATATCCCTCCTTCCGTATCCCTTTTTTTTTTTTTTTTAATCTGGCTTGAATGGCTGGCAGTTTCCTATTGATAGGTACTGTTCAGTCATTTGTTAGTAGTCTCATGCAAAATATTGTGATGTTAATGATAGCTTGGTACTTTTTTCACATGATGTTGGCACCCTTTTCTTTGGAATGAACAGGATTGTGGGCCCCTGGTAATCAGTTTGCCAGGTAGCCATCTTCCAAAGTTCTTGGCATAAATGAGTGAGTGCTTCCACCTTTGCATCCAAGTGTTGAAACATCTCAACTGGTAGCCTGGTTCTTCAGCATTGCAATTTGAGCTTTTAAATGTTCTTCAGTAAAATGGTAAAAATTACACGTCAAAAGCAATATTCAAATGCAGTACATTTGCAGTTATGTTATTTTAAGGACGCATGTTTACCCTATGAAAATAACAAATTTTATTGCTTTTGTGAGGTCTCTTTCACTGTACCACAAACATGCACACAAAGGACTGCATAACTGTTCTTTCTATTGCCTGATATCCAACACTTTTTATTCTCCCCTAGAATCTAATCAGGAGGCCTGCTGGCGTAGGGGGTTATACATTGGGCTGCTAACTGAAAGGTCAGCAGTTTGAAACTACTAGCCATACTTGAGGAGAAAGATGAGGCTTTCTATTCCCATCAAGATTTAGTCTTGGAAACTCACAGGGCAGTTCTACTCTGTCCTATAAGGTCAGTAGGGGTCAGAATCAACTCTGGCAGTGCCTTTGATTTGGTTTTGGAGAATCAACTCATGACTATGAACATTTGTTCCACTGACTGCAGAGTTGGGAATTTGTCTGAATGGTGTAGTCAAGTAAAAAGTGTGGTGCCACCGTCAACTCCTCAGACATTGAAATGTCGGCTCTGTACGCTCAGAGCACAGTTCACATAACAACATGACCATGTGGTCCCTCAGACCAAGTCAAGGCACAAGGGTCAGTGTTGATTTTTCTTATGGTGAGTTCTAGTATTTTCTTCATGCCTGAGTCAATGGTTTGCATCCTGGAAGCAACCCACCCCCCCTGTGGAGGTCATTGTTTTACAGGTCGTCTTTGCAGTATTCAGCCCTAGTTCTTGGGAGTTTTCTTTGGGCCTCGCAAGGCACATTTCATTTCTGTTTCAAGACTGGAAAAGCATCTGCCTCTTTTATTTTGCATGGCAGCTCCAGAGCTAGATCAGGTGTCTCCAAAGCTCCCGAAGGCTTTCTTTTCTTTTCAGTTCCGGAAGGGGCAGGGTCATGTTTGTTGGTGTCATGGAGTGGCGTTTCTCAACCTTGGCATGAATGACATTGTAGACCAAGCAGTTCTTTGTTTGCATGTGCCTTGGTGGCTCTCCTGTCCTCTGTAGGGCATTAAGCAGCAGATTCCCTGGCTTCTACCCACCGGATTCCAGTAGCACCCCCCCCCCCCAATTTAACAAGCAGATAGATGTTCGGGCACTGCCAGGTGTCCCCATGGGTCCTGCACTAGAGGCTTGGGGCTGCAAGGTCAGACCTCACTCAGGTGATTCCCTCTTAGAAACTGCCTGAGGTTCAGTCTGCAGCCTCAGGCCTCGTTAGCTGTTAAACCCACCTTCCTTATCTTGAAAACAAGACTGGGTGCTTCAATCTAGTCAGTCATGCAAGTGCTCTATAAATCTTGCAGTCTGAGTGCTTGCCAGCTTTTAAAACAGAAACTAAAGAAATTGTTTGGACCTTCTCGGCCTTTATTTTTCTCAAGTAAGCAAGCCAGAGTTCCAAATAGGAGCCTGCCTGCTTCCCAGCTGTTTTGTTGTGTGCCAATGAGTCAATTTTCAACTCATAGTGACTTCTTGTGACACAGTAGAAATGCTTGCTCCACTCGGGTTTCTAGGTGGTAAAGATGTCCTCTGCAGAGCCACTGGGTGGGCTCCAATGGCCAGCCTTCCAATTAGTAGCCAAGTGCTTAAGCATTGTGTCACCAAGAAGCCTTCCTTCCAGCGCAAGAGTAGCTATTCTGCAGTGGCCTCTTTAGGAACCAGACATTTGGCTCTG